TGGATATCGATTTTAAGTGCATTAAAAGCTTCAAACCTTGGTTGTACAAGGTTGTTGGGTTGTACAAGGTTGTTGGGAGTATTCATGGCAATGGCAATGTTGTAAATACTTGAAGATGATGAGGTTGAGAGAGTAAAAATGCCATTTTCGAAAAAAAATTCAAAAAACATATAAATGGCATTTTCGTAAATAAAATGAAAATGTGGGGTGAATAGGACAAAAACAAGATGAGTCAAAAGAAGAGGTTAGTTTTGTGTTTGACTTGGAGTTTTGAGTCAAATTTGCAAAAAGCCCATAATCAGAACTCAATGTTTCATAAACAAGATTTCTGATTTGCACATTACAAATAACACATAAAACGGATCAAAAGTAACTCACATAAAGAACTAGTAACGACTTGGAAGGCAACATCGTTCCACAAACCAGCAACAACATAGCGTTGTCAAACTGCATCATTCCAAAAATCAAGAGATATATTAGTGATTTATTTACAAAAAGATGCAGTAATCATTGTTTTTGATGTCTATATCAAACTGAATTCAAATTGATTCACATACCGTGAATATTCATGTTCTATATATTTAAATAAGAAACCAAAATCTCTTTCAACATATACAAAAGGAAAAAAAAAAAGCTGAAGACAAAAATCTTTAGTTAGACCACCCAACGACCGGAAAGGAGACATACTATATAATATAGTAACGTTGGAGTTTTACACCAAAAAAAAATAGTAACGTTGGAGTTTACCAGGTTCTGAGAAAAGGAAAGCAACCCACATACTCTCCTTCTCCATAGTATTCATCTCTATATGGACGCAGCGGGGGTGGATGCGACTGACCGTAGCCACTGTAGTAGTCTTGAAACCTCGTGCTGGTTGGTGGATACGGTGGTGGTGGAGCCTCCATTACCGGAGGGTAGAGAGGCGACGGGGCTGAAAATTTTCATGGAAGGTAAAACACATGCATGGTATGGTATTTAGCATTTCAGCTAATAGTCACCTATATAAGAAAAAAAATCAAGTTCATAAAATATAATGTTTTGAGGATTGCCTGGTTGATTTGACTCGTGAGAAAGATGGTAAGCTGCCATTGTGAAGCTTTAAATTTGAAACTCGTTTGGCAATGGAAACAGGAAAGTTCAAAAGAAGTGTGGTTCAGATATATTCATGAGAATATCTGAGAAAATACAAGACATTCTTATGTCTGTTCTCAAGTTTTACATAAGGAAAATAATCTGAAATAGTAGTTATCTAGAACAAAACCAATGTCGGTTTTGTCGAGGGGGAGACACAGTTGGGAGACACCTGGCAGTTGTGGTGTTTTGACGTGTTGGCTTGCAAACAGCGTGACGAGCTACTTGGCAGTTTAACCCGATTTGGGTCGGTGTTCGCTTTGATTTTATACTTTTGATGGCCCATATACGACTGAAAACACGTCTCTGACTCAAACTTCTACGTCAATTTCGTGTTCGACATTTGTTGCCATATTTCCTTTTGGGACATGAGACATCTCGCTTTTTACCTGGAGTTTTTGTTGTTGTTGTTTTCTTGTAAATTCACCAAATGCTACACTATCTTGATTGCCTAAAACAAATCCACCATCAGCTATCATCTCGCTTATAGATTTTTTTTTCTGAGTCTCATGGTTATGTTCAACTAATACATTTCTCCATTTATCCTAAATTGGCCTAACATACATTATAGTATTAGGCAATGGTGCTGATAAAGTTGCGTACATAATTGTACACGAGGCTATAAAAGTTGTTTAAACTAAATAGAAATATTTAATTCATTTAATATCATAATTTATTTATTTTATAAGATGCTTAGTTTAGCCCGGGAGAAGAACTAAACAAACATATTCCAGAAGTTTTAATCGACAGTATACTCTTGGATAGATTTGTCGTATTGGTCTACTGGATAGATTTGAATATTTCATCATTTCATCGTTTTAGTTGCAGTATAACGTTCTATGAGAAAAAAATATAGCTGTTTCATAAAATAATAATTCCGAATTATTCACATATATTAAAAACTTAATTTATATTAGAAATACATCATTTTCTGTGAATATTTTTTCGATAAAGTTAAAACAGTTGTAATTGAATAAATCCAAGCCCTTTGTCAAAAAAAATTGAATAATTTCAATTAGTTTTTTTCTTATAATTACACTTTATTATTATTAAATAATTTGATTTATAGATTACAGTAATTATATTTTTCAAACAATTATTATTAATTTGTAATACCTATTTTATTCATATAAAATGTAACATTACAAATAAGATAAACATATAACCAGTAAGATATATTTTTTTTTATCTTTTTAGAATAGAAGGACTACTAAATTGTATTATTTTCATAAAAGTATTACTAGTTAAAGAAGATTTTGATGCAACAGAAAAAACAGTAAAACCATGAAATGTGGAGTCACATGTTAGCAATTATTGTAATTGGCATTCCTCTTTCATTGTTTAGTTTGAGGCGCGGTCGATTCCCCACAGGTCATTTCATTGACCAACTTTAGTGCAACCACTGTTCATAAACATCCCTTAACATTATTTATTATTATTATAAACAATTGAAAAATCTCTAACTTTTTAAACAAAAAATAACAGCCAACTTACTTTTAAACAATTTCAATCTTCAACTTTTGAATTTTTTTTATTTAAACATTGTTTTTATTGACTAGGCCAATTAGATACCTAAAAGTCAGGCAATTTTAAAAAATTGGAAACTAAAATAGTTTATAGATAAGTTCTTATCTTTTGTTTCATTTTGATAAATATCATTTTTAACAGATTTGTTTCTTTGAGATCATGAAATTCTTATTAATCTTTACTTAGTTATTTCTTTTAAAAAAGTTCTAAGTTAAATTAGTTGTATTTTTTTTACAATTCACGGTTGATTCACTACCTGGTATGTTATCGATTTAGGTTCGAAAATTTAAATATTCACAACATTCAATATTATTTGATCATAAAACAATAAACTGTTCTTTTTATGGCAGATGTGGTAGGACAAATTAGATCCGTTAACGAGTCTGCGATTAAGAATGATGAGGCTAACAAACCATAAATCTGCCCCCTATGTCCACTTCAAAACTTCTTTACAATCAAAATTTTAAACCATAATTCACCATTTTAATAACCATTAAAATATTACATGATAGAATGATGGAAATTTATTTATTTTTATGGGACAAAACAGTTGAAGAATTTAGGAGTCTCCTACTTACAGAAGAGAGAACACACTCAGTCATGATCATTACAACTGTGAACCCCCGAAAATTGGAGGTAAATTATATATTCAGCTGGAGAAAATAAGATAGAATAAATCATTAACGGAATGTTTTCTCTAAACATGTGACATGTACCTCAGATCCACCACAACAACCAGATTTTATTGGGACGACAATATCCCAATAATCACAAAGTTTAAGAAACGGTAATATTTCATTCCCTATTTCTCAAGACCATACTTTTAAATGTCTGCTCAGCTAACATCTATTGCTGTCACCATACAACTTAACACGTTCACTACACAGAACCTTTGGCCTACCCCTTACCAGCAATGAGAAACAACTAGCCTCGATTGGAGATCTGTACAAGTATGTCTCCGACTCTAAAGAGAAGTTAACAAATAGGACTCCATCTTATTCTCACATCTGTTTGATCCATAATAATTGCTATAGACATACTTTATCGACTAACTCTGTCAGATACATGAATCTGAATTCCTTTGCAAGGCATGTATTTTTGAGGTCTTGACCCAAAATGACTGGTATTATCTCTGCTGCATTGCCTGCGCCAGGAAGCTGCACAAATCTGGTCAGTCACTCCGTTGCAGCCAATGCGCTGACCACAATCCCACCGGTGTTGTAAAGTAAACTCCTTTCACAATCAAAGATAAGCAAAAAAATAACTCTATTTCTACAAAACAATAACTCATGTGAACTTTTGATATAGATACCGTGTTGAATCGCTGGTTGAGTATGGCAATGTTATGGCCACTTTTGTGGTATACGACAAAGAGATGCTTAAACTCATTAACTAAGATGCTGCGACACTGATACTTGATCAGGTAATTTGTAAAAAACACAAATATTAGTGATCTATGTTAAGTCACTAAACATTCAAAGACAATACAAATCAATGAGGCTGAAGGATAACAACTACCACAATGCGTTGTAAAACTTTCCAGGAGAGAGCTTTTATTCAACATACGTGCCACACCATACCATTTCATCAGTAACCAAAACTCATTCTCAGTCTCTGGAATCTGGAATCAATGAGAAAAACAATGAAGTATTATACTCAATACTAAAATAAATAATTGCATCTTTATAAACTATCAAAAATGACATCTTCAATGCTCTACAGAGTTTCAACACCAGTCAAGGACCAGCTAATGCAGCGAAAAGTGGAGAGACATCAGCTTACGGTCCACTCTTCAAGAAGTCCACACCTGAAGCGGGAAAAAGCGGGAAAAGAAGGTCGCAAACGAATCCGAGAGTGACACACAACTCTCTCAAGCCATCACCCCACAAAACTTTCTATGTTTTACAGTCCACTATGTTATTTTGATTTTTTGAAAAAACCTTTGCTACTTTATCTTTATTGCATGCATGCTTTCACACACGCTGAATTCTAACAAGAAATCAGAGGGGAATGAAAACTTTGTTTCACAGTTTCTTAAATTATTATGTTTTCTTTACTTTGATTTCTCTACATTATTAATATTACATGCTTTCTTTAATACTAAGATGTTGAAATCAACATAAACAACCTTCTCAAAATACCAAATTCCACGACTCTGCAATTTCCGTCATATCTATCAACCATTTCAATAATATATTCCACCTATGTTCAACGTATCTAATTTATTAAAATAGACTCCTTTTTGAAATTTAGTGTGGTATATTTTAATTTTGGACCTATTAAACAAGTCATCATTTAAGAATACACACGTTTGGATCTACAATATTACGCTTGCACCTACTTATTAAAATGAACCGATATAATAATTCTAAACTGACGTAGCACACAACCATTCGTTCAATATTTGGTTAACATAGAGTTGACATGCTTTAGGTTATTGAATACAACATAATAATTGATTCAAGCAATAGTTGTTTTTAGTTCAAGCAATAGTTTTGCTTCTTTCAATCATTTAGAGAAAGGAACCTCAAATATAAATTCCAGTTAATCCATACGCAAGGCCATGTAAGTGTATCAGATATGTTTCATTCGATTTTGTGCTTAAACTTTCGATCCCTCAATCTGATTTTTAGGGTTTCACTGAGTAGGTTTAATCAAGAGAAGCTAAAAGTCTCTGCAGTTTTGTTTATGGGTATACAAAACCTTGAAATAAGGTGTATGTGAATTGGTGGGCTAATCTCTAATTGAACTTGCCATCAAAATGCATATAGTTTTCTAAAAGTGTTATTTCTTATTTTGCTGGATAAAACTTGATCCTTTAGCAATAATTGAGAAAATGGCTTCAACTATGAGTTTCTTTTCCGTTTTAAAGATAGCAACTTTATAGATTTCATGTGCTTACATGATCATCCCATCAACTTTTTTATTATTTTTCTCTAGAATCAAAGTAACAAACGTTATGTTGTTTAATGCAGAGCTCATGTCAGTCGCTATATGAGTGGAAAGGTGACAAGAGTGAAGTCTGAAGTCAAGGCCCAAAAGGTATTTAGATTTTGAAAGATGTGAAAGCTCTCAACTAAGCTATGCTCTTCACACGTTTCTGTCATGGTGTTGGACGTAGTGCTCAGGCATTCAAACGGTCCAGGTTGTTGGTTTGTTAAATCTGCTCGGTTCGTACTTGATCTTTTCAAGAATGTTGAGAGCAAAGCTGAGGTGACTTTGGAGTTTTGACTCCGCTATTTGTTTATTGATTTGGCTCATATATCCAGTAGC